AGATTTGCAAACTATTGCATAAATAATATAAACATATGTCCTACAAATAACATTTTCCATATCAAAATGAGGGCTTTACGGAATAAGGGTTTATTTAGCCTCTTACTGCATTAAAATGTTTGAGTTGTTTGAAAATAGAAACATCCACAGTTCTACGATAACTACTTTCAGTATCCTGTAGAGGAGAAGAGATAATGCGATCCTATATAGGACCACTGAAAGTTACAAGTTTTCTCACATTCGGCTTGTACAGATGCATTAGCTTTGATATTTATACAGTTTAGATATTGCAGCAATATCGCATTCTTTATAGTAATCTTGAAAATTGATTTTATATTCATAGGTTTCCTTTTTATATATAATGCATTGCACGTTATGGATGGCAACCATTTGCGCGGCTTATCTAAGCGCAGCTTATCTTAGATCGAATCTTTTTATATACGAAGCAAAACCACAATTACTGCAACGACGCCAATTTACTTTATCTTCAAATCAGAAAAAAGGCTTTAGTTTTTCTTGTGACTTATTGTGGTTAGGACTGCAGACTACTTACCGATTTGTTAAGTAGTCACACCATTTGCACTTAATACTTTCTTTTTTTGACTTCGCTGACAACAGCTTTTATCGACACTGACTTCAAGAAGTTCATAGCATGCAACATTTTTTATGCTTTCGTTCTCCTCCTGTTAAGACTCTGGCTTAAAGCTCTCGAGTCTGACGTTATACATAAGTAGTTTAAATATCAGTTACCTTACTCTTGTAAATTTTCTTTGTTTCCTGTAAAAATGGACTTCATACCACAAGAGATTGTGTGGTCGAAATGCTATGTAACTTTACACGAAATATTACTTCATTGTTAATTTTTTCTTGCCGAAAATGATGCGTCTCTATGATCAAATGAGACTATTTAAACTACTAAGACTGATACGAATAGCAAAGAAAAGACAAGAACAAAAATTTTATTAATTTATTAAAATTTGGCTGACCATATAACGCTGTTTCGAGTATTGCCACATTCTCTTTCAGTGAATTAAGGTCTCGTATTGTAGCTTTTGTTGCTTTCCAACTCCAAAAGGAAAACAGTAATGAACAATATAGTTCTAAGCTATACTGAAGAGTGAGTTAATCCATTGTTGCAACACTTATTACAATACATAAAAAAAATATCTATATTCGAGGGCAAATTCTTGTTCACTGATAATATGACTAGGCCTAAAGTTGCAGTGATGTGTTGACAGGAAAATTCAAACTTTTGTGGGGAACTGCAAAACTAGCATGTGAGACATGAGAGGATATCACCTACCAGAGTAACAACTAGTCTCATGCCTAAAATATGATTTACAGACCAAAGCCTCTATGTTCGAGGGCGAATTCTTGTTCAAGGATAATATGACTAGGTCTAAAGTTGCAGTAATGTGTTGACAGGCAATTTCAAACTTTTGTGGGGAACTGCAAAACTGACGAGTGAGACATGAGGGGAAATCACCTACCTACCTAAAATTCGACTGACGACAATTATAGGTATTCAATAATAAATATTTGCAAAAAGAATTATATACAAAATCAAAATGAATTTATGTGAAAGTGCATTTCGATTTGTTATTCCGTTCTAAACAAATGCATATATACTTTTACGAAAATATGCATTAAAATTTGAATATCTACAAACTGAAAACTGCTCTATAGTTATTCCTTACAATTTGCTTACTTAAATAAATAAACTTACATACTGAACGTATTCAAGTTAATATTGATGAAGTTTTATGCCAAAAACAGTAAAAATACCTTACATTGTTGATTGTTGTTTAAAAATAAAATTTATTTTTAGGATAATAAATTATTTAAATGCATTTTTTTAAGTTTCTGTTTGTAATTCTCATTTGTATTACTTCAACAAGTAATTGAGCTCACTTTAGCAATTTTCCTTTCATTTCTCTTACAAGAATTTTATTTGGAAAATTATTGTTATCCCCAAGGATCAAATTACAAATTGTACTTTTTGTATTTTCTAACTTCCTTATCATATCTTTGTTATAAGTTTTAATATTTGTATTTTGTACTTATTGCATTAAAATAATTTTTATTTTTAATTTTCAACTTTTAATAGAGCTCCGAACTTCTGAACAAATTCTAAAACAAACAAAATTGTTTTAAATGCAAATATTCTTAAATTCAATGCTGTTCATACGAGTAGATGGAAATTATTTAAAGTATTTTGAAAAATTTTGAACAAAACAGAAGTATCTATACAAATTTATACATATATAAATACATATATACATATATTTTATTTAGTAACTTAGGAATATTGTAATTTGAAGTTTACGTTAACGTGGCAGGATACTTCATTTTCTCTTGGCAGCAATTTTTGAATTTTGAATTGCCCATTTAACTTTAGAGTGTTTACTCTGCCCCACCTGGCGGCTCCGTAAATTTGCGTACACTAAAGGAATTTTTGTTTAATTTCACGAATGATAAAATTTTAGTAATTATCTCAGACATAATGCTTTATAATGCTTTGCAATAATTTTAATGATGATTACGTTTCATGGCATTGAAGCAAAATCACTTGCAAAAGTTGTGGCTTATCGATTTTACAGTAATTGCTATTTTTTATTAAAGTTTTCCGATGCTGGTTTCGATAAAGAAAATTAGTGTACCTGTTTGTAAAACAAAGTACGATAAGTACGATTAGTACCATACACTCCTACACAAGAAGCTTAATGGCTAACATACAACTTCATACTATAAACATCGAAAAAATAATGTAAAATAAAATAAAATAAAATAAAATAATATGTTAAATATTTGTAAATATTGTATCAACAATTTGTAATGCAGTGCAGTTTCTTGATTGCTATTGCTTTCAGTCATAAACTACTTCATTTCAAAGGGAAAATGCATTAACTTTTCCTTCAGTTTTCTACTTTTCCTTATGGAAATACTCGTATTACTATATTTTCAATTACATTTTTATGAAATTTTTATGAATTGCTTATGGAAGTTTATTTTTTATTATAGCTACTACGCTTAAGGCTATTTATGCAAGAGCACTTATCCTTTCTGTACTGTCAGATAAAAAATTATGTATAATAGATACTCGTTCGTACTCATAACGAAACTCCAGTAATATTATTTTGCATTTGCTACAAGAAAATTTATTAAGAAAAACGACTTACAATTTTTAATATTTTATCTAGAACTAAAAGGATAAATGTTTTGGGTTCGCTATTTCAAGCTAAAATATCTAAGAAGAAGAAATTGTTTAAAATTTTCATGTTGCTTTTTTTAATATTTTTATATGTTATATGAAAAATTTATTGTCAATACGACTTTTATGCTTAAATTTTTCACTTGCATTGAGGGAAAAAGTAATATTTTTTCAACAAACGCAATCAATAAAAATTTTGCTAAATTTTTATTCTTAACTCAGTTTTTTTTCAGTTTTGTGGTAAGAAAATTTCAAAAATTGTGTTAAGTGCAAACACATGAAAGATTTTTTCAGGATTTTATCCTTTTTTCTTCATTTTTTTCCTTTTTTTTTGTTATTGTAATACGCTTAGTTGAATTTTTTTTTGTTTTTTTTTTGACCCTTATTGCTGTGATTTATTCATTCATATTTTCCAGCGATTTCAGGACGAAGAAATGCATAGAGTTTTGTTTGAGTTACATTATGTACATTTACAGTTGAGTGTCCTTGTGTATGTGATGTACATAAAATGCAGGTGAATGTTGAATTGGCAGCGGTTGCAGGAGTGCCACTTGTGCTCAGCAAGCAGGGAAACTTTAAGGATGTGCTTGACATAAGTTGAAAAATGCTTATATCCTCAAAAGTGCGTTAAACTATATTAAATTGACGCCTTTTTCCGCTGTGTACATTTAGTTGCAAACAATTTAGTTGCATATTCTTAAAAGTATGAGTCATTTATAAATAATGTTGCTTTTACATAATAAAGATTAAAACAGTTAAGAAAAAATGAATTTTTAAAAAATAATAAAAATCATTAAAAATATATGATTTAAGAAAAGATTTAAGAAAGGTTTCGAAATGTAGTGAACTACTACAACAAAAATTATTTTTATAGTATTTTAATTAATTAAATTATTTGATTGACTTTATACTTTATTCGAGTATTGCTTAATAGTCATCATCAATGGTTTTGGAATTATTTCTTGTATTTAATTATTCGTAAATCATTTTTTTGAGACCGAAAATACCTGCCAAATATGAAGCTCAGAGTCAGTGCTCATTACCCAACTCACACAAAGCTGTACTTGGCTGTATATGTTGTATATGTAAAGCTGTATATGTTCGAACTTGGAGTTTTTTTTTAATTTGCTGTTAAAGTTCATAAACAAATTTACTTGCTAAGTTATATTAGAACGAAATCATAAACCACACTGTAGAATAATTGAATTAATTATTTATATTTGTATTTTTAATTGTTAAAATTCAATACTATATTTTTGTAGAGGCATTATTTATTGTATGTTTTTGTATTATTCTTTCTTGTATATAATACAAAAACAAATTTCACAAATTTTTTATTGTACAGACTTTACCTTATTACTTTGCTTATTAAACAATTGTTTTATTTTTTAGTACAAAAATATCATAATAATACAATGGATATATCTGAAAACTTGGTAGATGACTGAAGAAACTTTATGTGTGAATACATCTATTTTGGATTAGAGAAACTTTTGCTTCCCGATAAATAATAAAAAGGACAATATGCACACATATTGGAGAAGTTGTAGAGACGTTTAAGAAAGTGCAAGACTTTATTAGGTAAACTTTTGCCGGTGAAACAGGTGTAGTTAAATATTAAGTATATTAAGTTAAGTATTAAGTTAAGTATATTAAATTTGAAAGAACTAAACATCGACTATGTTTAAACCTTCAACTACCTTGGTAGGATCTTTCTGTCGTATTTAGCAAGGAATGTGGGATATAATTCCTTGGTCAACGATATCCATAAAATTATTTTTTATTCTAAATGGATAAATGGATAGTATTAACCAAAATAGGTGATGGTAAACATATGAAATGGAATAATAATGAGAAGAATAATCATGAAACGGGAGGTATATAAGTGTTAAAACCACCTATAGCAAAGTCAAGCTCTTGTAAAAAATGAATTAAATTTGCTAGTTATGTAAAATTCGTGTTAAAAAGCTTAAGAATGAGAAAAAAAAATTAGTTATTTAGAAATTTCAGGTAATACGTGATATTATTAGAAGATACTAGCATTATGTCTTCGTTTTTTACAACACTTCTTGTTTGAAAATATGAATACAATGTGTTTCATATATATATATTATAATTTTGAAACTTCTTTATACTTTGGTTACTACTATTGAAATTAATTAAAATAATGTCATTTCTTTAATCATTTTAGAGGAAGAAATAATGATATTTATCTTATAGTGTTAATTTATATTATTTTCAAACAACGTTTTAAATCATATTCAATTGGTTTAATTTCTTAATATATTAATATTAAACACATGGTATATTTATTGGTCTGCTAATAATACATAAATCTATATTTCGCCAACTTTTTTCTTGTAAATATATGTATCTATGAACTTCATTATAGCAAACAAAATATATTAATTTCCTTCACAGTTTGTGAACTCTCGTAAATTCATCCTTGTAAGACCAATAAATGCCAAACTAAATTAGGTGCGAGGAAAGTGTAAACGCATCATTAATTACAATAAAATCAACAAATTTATTGGCAAAAGGTAGAAAAAAATTTACAAAAATAAATGAAAATAAATACGAGGAGTCTACGACTAAGTAAACAACTGCGAAAAAAGCCAGATGAAATCGATATATAATCGAACAAATTGTGTGTAAACGAATTGATTTCGCTGCGACTATAAACAACAAAACTTGTTGATGTAAATAAATTAAATTTAATTTCTACTTTTGTGGTAAAAATAATAATAAAAAATTTTTAAAATTTTTAAAATTAAAATTTCTTAGAATCATATAAACTTATCTCTTTTATCCTCTTCATTCAATTTGCGACAAATAATCTTAAAAGGAAAAGTGGATATAATATATAGTATGGGGAACAAACAATTTAATGCCTACTTAATATCAATTATCCTGTTTTAATGAGCACTTAATTAGCGCAGAGCTTAGAGCACAATTTATGTGTGCACAGTCTTAGCACGCAACAATCCAAATGAGCCAACCAAAGCCCAACCACAAAGTTATATTTACGATTTGAACACTGAGAAGGACACAAAAAATATAAAAAAAATATAAAAAAAATGTAATTATGTCCTGAGTGCAAAGTGTCTTCTTTATTTGCCATATCCACCTCTGCAATGTTGTGTTTTCAGTAGATTATGCTTACTTCATTGGCAGTCCTGTTTTTTTTCCTTGAGGACTAAATACTTCAAGAGAGAAAATAATTAAGAATCCTACTTATATTGTGAGTTTATTTTTTTGTAGACAATATTTGAATTAAATCATGTAATATATAATTTTAAATTATTACTTAAAGATATTCCAGCTGAATTGAAAACATATGTAATTTTTTTGTATGACGTAGTACAGGTAGCAATGGCCACTTTTAAATAGAAATGTTAAAAGCTACTTCTTAATTATAATATTGGTGTTTAATTAACGAAAATTATAAGAATATTAATTAACAATTGTACATATATATTTAAGCAGACCGGTCAGTCGATTCAAAAGTTTATTTAGAAAAATATTTATGATACGTCATTGAAGTAATCATGCTGACATGTCTGCTATGTAATGCTCCATTGTCTTGTGAATAGTCCTTTTTAGATATGCATTGTATATCGTACTTATAAATTAATCATTGCACTGTCTTTCTATTAAAAAAAAAATAAAAACAAGAATATTTTTTATCAAAATTCTTTTTGTTAGTTTAACTTCATTGTTTTTATTTTAAGTGCTTTCACTTAAGCAATTTGAGTCTTAAATTTGTAGTCAACGAAGCGTGGTTCGATAATGGATTCCTGCTTAACAAAATGACAAAGTCTTTTAATGTTTTTCTTCTTCAAGGAATATTAAAAAACATTCTTTTACATGCTATATGATATATATAGGTTAAAAAAGTACAATATATAGAATACACAATAAGAATATACATGAATTTGAAAGCTGAAATATTCGACATATGTTTAAACTATAATAGTACACAGTAAATATGCTGCTAAATAAAATATTTAATAAAAAATATGAATTTATTAAAATTGTTAGTAACAAAAATAAAAATCTAATCTTATATTTTTATATGTTTTGATATGTATAAATATTTTTGCCTTTGTTATATGACAACATTATGGATAAATGGTTTATGCTTATATTAATAATGTTAGATTTGCTTATAAACAAATGATATAATGAGTTTTAGCAGTACCAGTGCTATAAGCGAGATTACAGCGGCGCACTATAACTATTATCGAGACCCATATGAATAAATCTCAGGCTGCTACTCTGTCGATTGAGCAGTAAAAATCGTTTGAAATTCAACGATGGGTATTGTGCACTACTGAATATGATATAATGTATCTCCAACGTGATAGGTTACTATTTATTTGCAGTAAAAAAACAAGAAATAAGTAAGCTTCATAGTTTAGTGCTTTTGAGTTTTTGAAATTTAAAGAAATTAATTTATAACAAATTTTTTTGACGAATCAGGCGTCTTTTCATTTTTGTCAACCTAAGGCAAAAAGTTTTATAGTTTTTATAAAATGTTTCAAAGTAAAAAGGTTTACTGGAAAACAGTGTTTTGACTTAATCATATGCTTCCTTATTTCTATCGCCCTGAGTTCACACCCCAATATCTGTATGTTTATGACTGAACAATTATAATTATAAATTATAATTACAATTATAAATCGTTGAGAAAGTTATTACATCTTGAGGTAGTATTCGGAAAAAACTCATCAATTAATATGAATTTATTTTGTCATCTTCGATATAAACTCCATGGGGTGAGCTACATTCATAGCACGACTTAATCCAATGTTTCATTTTAGGTCTAATAAGCCTATAGCCTTTAACTCTCACAACAAATGTTCTTTTATTGTTGCAATCGGTTTCAAACTTTCCTCATTACATTTCACTAATTTACAAACAAAATATTACAGAATTAAATTATAGTAGAATCTTCTGCGGACGTTTTTTAAGAAGTCTCCTACAAAGTTTAGATTCCTTTTGTTGACCAAGAAAATATAGCGAAAGACTTCTAATAACGTACATATGCGATCCACATTTCTTTGCATTATTTGTGCTGTTAATTTTACTTTTGTGTTATTCATTTTTATTTTAATTTTTTTGTTTATTTTAGTTATTTTTCTTATCCAAATTCTTTACATTTAGGCTTTTTTCCATTTTACAAAGAGATGTCCATAAAATGTGAAATATTGAATATTGTTTAATCATATATTTGGTGATTGGTTGCTGCACTAAGATTTTGAAAACTGTGATTAATGTAAGTGGCAAATATAAAAAAGTGGATCTTTATGCGATTAAAATAAAACTTAGGATTTAGTAATTCATCTGTCAGTATTTGAAATAAAATATTATCAAACAACGATAGTAATTAGTTTTATCATATTGTTGCAATAAAATGCAACAAATCAAGTCTCATATATTGAAAAACAAGCGCTCTATATCTATAGTTAATTTTATCTATAGTACTTAAATCTAAGGACTGGTTTATTTTTGTACCATAAATTAATACTAATTAAGTTCAATAAAATAACATATACGATAGGCAATCAATGGACCAATTAAAATGCTGACTTATAAAATCAAGTCTCATATACAGAAAAAGAAGCGTTCTACATCTATAGTAAATTTTATCTATAGTACTTAAATCTAATAACTCGTTTATTATTATTAAAAATAGTAATAGTAATTAAGTTCAATAAAATAACATATACGATAGGAAATCAATGGACTAAGTAATGTGAAAAACTAAGAGAACAGGAATTATTTTTTCAAGTTGACTAAATTTTAAATATTGTTTGCATATTTTAGCGTATTGTCTGGTCATCCAAAAAATAGAGTATTTAGATTTAACAAAAATTCACTCCACCTATTCACGTAAAAACCTAAAATATACATATTTATGCTTTGGGGGTTATAGCTGCACAATTATTAGCATTTAAAAGACCAAATGTTGGAAATACTCTTAGACTTTAGATGTTGGAACCAATCCACATATGCATGGAGAAAAAAATGAAAGGAACGAAAATAAACTTCAAAATATTGTAGCTTTTTAGATAAAAAAATAAAATTCACACAAATCGATTTAACTTGTTTCATTTTGCGTTGGACTACGACATGTGCTAAAGCTATTTTTTGCCAATCGGGCGTTTAACACTTAAGCAAATCCATAGATTCATACGTTAAAATGCAGGAATAGAAGACACCAATTGCTTTATTCTACTCAATTCAACAAAAACGATATCCAAGTAAAAATATTTTGCCAAAAAAAGTGTTCAAATCATGGCGCACCAAACAAATTGTTGTGAAAACGCAGACAAAACAAAAAGAAACCAACAAAAACAAGGAAGCGATGGATCGTCCATTGTGACCTGGGCAAGGAAGCACATACATCCTGTGTCGCATCCTTGTGTCTATGCAGAAATCCACACTGAACAAATGCAAAAATGCAGACGAAAGAGTTTAATTTGATAATGTCAAGCATTTATTTTATCTCAAATTTAATGTTCAACAATTGACTCGAGTTGAATTTTATTTAAAGTTGTGAATTTTGTTCATTAAATGAAAAATTTTAAAAACAAATGATATTAATTTTCAATATTGTCTTAAGTGAAAAAAAAACCTGCAGAAACCTATTCTTGTTTTATAAAAATATTTTTAGCAAAATAAAAATTAAAGTTACGATAGTTTCAGATCCTTAGAAGTTACGATTGATACACTTCGTTATTATCATTAGAAGACTTATTGTAGATATACGAGCATTATTCAAATTAAAACAGATGATGTAACTAAATTTAGTAAAGCACAGATATATGTATTTCAATATTATATAAACAATTTAGATGGTAAAATAACTCAT